ACGATTTACAATGAGGTACCCACTTAGTGTGTAATTGGTGCTAAACAGGTGTAGTATTCAAAGACTTAGATTCAATTACAGTTTGTTTAACCAAATAGAATATATATATTTGTTTTTTTCACAATTCACAAATAAATATATAATTACATAATCTTTTTTCTATTTACCTTAGCACTCTTGTTTGAGCTACGAGCCACATAAGGAATAAAGCCTATTGTCCACTTTATATCCCAATTATTAACTTCCCCTAGCATAATTAATCTAATATATTGATTAAAAACAATCCAATAATGAGTGCCAATAGCAGTAAAAACATGCCACCACCCATGAAACTCTAATAGGTAGCTAGTTGGTCTACCAATTTTTTGCCTTGCCAATCTTAAATAATCACAAGCAATATTATCAATGTTCCAAGCTAGAAATCCAAGCCCAAATATCGTCCAAGCCTTGAACAATAATCTTTGCATACTAGTTCGAAGTTGACTGTCTCTTGGTAACTTATCAACAAGATAATATGAGCGAAAGTTTAATACTGTTACTAGCATTCCGTAAGTGATTTGATGAAAAATTGGAATTACGATATACGTATAAATTACAGTTATGCTAATGGCGTATGTGACTAATGCGAGAGGTAGATAAAGCCCGTATTTCCTTTTACGACCTGTTTCAAAGCTTTAAAGAAAGATAAATTATTTAATAGTCTATATATAAAATAAGTAATAATATTAATGATAATTACATATTATGCATCAGGATGCAAGTTCCATATATCACTGTTGCGCGGAAAAAAAGTTAAATATATGATATATCTATGGATTCAACTTATAGCATACAACTCACTTGGAAGTTCATCTAACAATTGAAATTCATATAACAAAGTCATATGAAAGCACCAAGAACCTATACCAACTAGCAAGACGCCCGCATAAGCCATAATAAACCGTTTTTCTAATCCATATTTTACTGTTGTATAAATCCCGAAAAAACATAGGCAAACTAAGAAACGATTAATTAGATATTAGAAATTTATAATTTTTATTTATTATTTCGGCAAATGGGGGAAGTCAGTAGAAACGGAACAAATTTTTGTTAAATAAAATTTTCTTTAAATATTATAACTATTAATTCAAATTTGATAAAATTTTTTATTTTAATTCTAAAATTAAAATCAAAATTTATCAAATTTAGTTCAATAATTGTTAAAATATTTTAATTAAAAAAAAAAGAAAAAAGTCGCTAAAAAAAATTTGCCCCTTTTCCACGTACTTACTGAAAGTGAGATTCGTCACAGTATTTACGAATTCAGCGATATACTCATTAACTATATAGTTTTCCTTATGAAAAGTAGGATTCATTGAAAGGATAAGCTGTATCGATAATATATCTACCCAACCAATAATGGAATTCTTTTTTGATCAACTTACTTCGCACCAGTCTAAAGTCGCAGTTCTATATTAAAGAGAATAATTAAGAATAATTATGAGTTGTTATCGAATTAAAAAATATATAAATACTCTACCTTTGACCCCAGAACGGACGTTCGTTTTCAAATTTTATTGCCTTTACCATTTTTTTTTTTTTTGTTCGATTCGTTGTGTAAGGGATAATAATGAGAAAATAAGGCTGGCCGGTTATAAACAAGAAATTCTTACCTATTTATATGTATCGACATATACTGTTTCTTGATAAATTCAAGATCATCCTATTCATCGATCTTATTTCTGATTGATCTTGTTAAATACTCTGAATCGGCACATGAAAAATCATGTTCAAGAAGCCTTAATGATTTTCCCTATTTAAAAATTAAATCATGCAACCTAGAAATAGAAAATTCTCATTTATGTATATATTTATTTACCCTGTTCGGCAAAAAACACTAATACGTAGTACGGACGCACTTATTTTGGGGGACGTCTAAAGCGGATTAGATTCTTATAATATATATTTTATTGAATTAGCTTTAAGGTTAATATTAGAGTTAAGTTAGGTTTTAGGTGGTTATATATAAGTAAAATTGCCTTCCCGACATTTTTAATTAACCCACCCGAGGTAAGTTTAGACTACAGTTTTTTGTATTTTTCAGGTTTTTCGTTTTGCCTGCGATCATCAAAATTCGCTCCGCTTTAGACCCTTATTTTGGTGAGTAATAAAAGGAAATAGCCAATCAGTGAATGCAAATTTTGACTATTTCGGAACAGCCCAACATAGGATCCGAAAATACTCAAAAACTAGTGTTTAAATCGACCTTTATGTACTAATTAAAAATGTCGGGAATGAAATTTTACTTATAATCTTTTTCTATAACCTCTAACAACCTCTAAATTTTCATTTCACGCATTTGGTTTATTTACAAAATCAGATTTTTTTTTGGTTTGTATTACTCGCAAAAATAAGTAACCCTAATGGGACGATTTAAGTAACACATGTACCTATAAAGAATATTCTAAATCAACCCAAAAAAATTGTTAAATTTGTTTAATTGATTATTATTGATTATTAAGATATTTTTAATCAAAGTTTAAAAAAAATTTTTAAAATAAATACAGTCAACCCTCTCTAAATGCATGACGTCGGGACCATAGTAAAAAATTTTAAAAATATGCATTTAGAGAGGTTATGCATTTAGGGAGGTAAAAATCTATGTTATATTAGTTGGACCCAAGAAAAGACATGCATTTAAGGAGGTTTTTCATATATATATATTTAGGGAGGTTGTATTTAGAGAGGTCCAACTATATTTAAAATTTTTTGGTTTTTATAGAATTGTTTGAACAGACCTGGCTGGCCAGCTTTTTTTTTATAAAAATTTTATAAATTTTTTTTAAAAATTTTTTTAAAAAATTTAACTGGTTATTTAAATATATAAAAAAAATTTTTATAAGTTTTTTAATTTTGATCTAGCTGAATTATAAAACCAAAATTTTTTTTTTTAATATTAAAGTGATCACTTGTGGGTCTAGTATATTTATTATTTACAAATTGGATTAAATACTAGCTTGGTCTTATCGATCTTATCTGATTTTGTTATATTAACAAGAGTACAATTGATTATATGATAACTTTAGTTATTGTCTATTTAAAGGTTCTGCTATATCTATTTCTATCTATAGTTACCTACCAATTGCTATATCTAAGATCTGCTTGTACATCTTCTATTTAAACTTTTTGATTGACTTTATATTATTGTGTTATTTTTATTACTATTTAACTACTGCTAAGGTCTCTTAAGACTAATTTATCTTTGTGATAAACCTGTTAGAGTTTTTTATACCTACAATTTGGCTAATCTAGTCTTCAGTTATTTATGTTAAATTTAAGAACAGGTACTTGCAAGCCAAAACTATTATTCTTATCTACTTTTGCTTTTGTAAAGTTCATCCAAACCTCAATATACATTTTATAAACTATTACTAATATTTTTAATTATTCCAAACTACTAATTCAGATAGTTTAAAAAAGATACTAGACTACAGTCTTAATCTTTTAGTATCTGCAATTAAGCAAATTCTTTTTTTTCAGTTTTGGTGACCTAGTTGATAAAGTATCTTTTCATATACTTGGTTTTGTTTATTTTTTTTAGTTTAATCTGATTATTCTAAACTATCAATTCAGATAGCCTAAAAAAGATTTTCATTTGTGAATTACTAGTTCTCTGATATCTATACTTAAGCAGATTCTTTTTTTTAGCTTTAGCAGTCTAGTTGGTAAAGTATCTTGCTATATACCTAGTCCTGTTCAGTTTTTGCTAGTTCTTTCAATAATAATCTTTTATAGATTACTAGCAAAGATCTGTACTATCACTCTACTCAAGTTTTGCAAAACAAGCATCTATCTTTATAGTTTTTTAGATTAATTGGTGATTTGCCACTCAACCAGAAAGAGCTCATAGTGTAACATGATGCAGTTTACATATAGAAATTAAGGTTTTTGAAATGTGAGCTGCTTCTATCTAAAACTTTTTTGTACTAAGTTAATCACCTTTGAGTCTCTAATTGAAGTTGTAAAGCTTATCGAGATGAATCTAATGGTGATTGAATCGTCAAAATCGGCTTAGTAGATCATGAGATATCTTCAAAAAACATTTTGCTGACTATATAAAATTCTCTTGGTGATACTATTGTCAAAAGAGAGAATTTTACATAGTCAGTGAAATATTTTTCAAAGATATCTCATGATCCACCAAGCTGATTTTAATGATTCAATCACCATTAGATTTATCTCGATGAGTTCTACAACTTCAATTAGAGGCCTAAAGGTAATTAACTTAGTACGAAAAAAAAATTTAGATAAAAGCAGCTCATATTCCAAAAATTCTAATTTCTATATGTAAACTGTATCATGTTATACTATAAGCTCTCTCTAGTTGAGTGGTGAATCACCAATTAATATAATTATAGAACTTATTTATATAACTTATATATTACACAAATATCTTATAATCTTTTAATTTTGTTAGTATCGCCAAAATTATAGAGATCCTGTTTTAACTAATCATTGAAAGACAGTAATGGGTTTAGCATAGCTTATTGGTTAAGCTTCTAAACCTCCATAGACTAGATCAACAGTTTGAGTTAGGCTGGAGGCAAATTTTAATAAAATTTGTTTCTGTAACTTATGGGGCTATAATCGGATGTGAAACTCTGTAGAAAGTTCAAGTGCAGTATGAAATCAGAATAAAACATTTCTAAAAGAAAACCAAGTTGTAAAATAAAGGTACTATATATGATAGCGGCATTACAGAAGGTCTAGACGATAGAAGATCGTACGTGTAAGTCTTTGGTTAGGGTGACTCAGAGGCAATATCAGTATCCTATCATCTCTGTATTTGGCAATACCAACATCTTTACACTTAACTTGTGGGTACTTGCTTGAAAGGATGATCAACAGATTGTGCACATAAGTTCTAATATAGAATGGTGTTAGATACTTGCTTGAAAGAGTGATACTATACTACCAAAACTAAAGTAATAAGAGAAGCAATGATATACAACTATAGGCTGTAGTAAAAGAACATGTCTTAACTAGAATTAGAAGTACCTCTGGTACCAGTAAAATAACTATAGAAGACTACTCGGTATAGAGAATATAACCTACTTTTGTATATCTAAAGATACCAATTCAGAGCTAGAGTTCCAAACTGGTTTAAAAATCTCTACCTGTAACCTGTCAAGTAACCTATTTTTTCAACCAGATACCTGAAACTAAAACTGGCTATCTGATTAAAGTGGGTCACCTGGTTATAATCGGGTAACTGAATACCTGATTATCTAAGAAATTTATTGGCGAAACCCACTTAACTAAAAAAAAATTCTTACTATATATAACTTATATTGAGAGAATATTATATGTATTCGAATATTTATTCATTCAATCTTTTTAATATCTGAATATTCATCAGCAAATTTAAAATAAATATTCAAATATTCACTAAATATTCATTGATTGATGAATAGAGTAGTTAATTCAGAACAATAATGAATTAAGACAATATTATGAAGTTGAATAACTAAGTTTAAACACACAAGCTAATATCGATTTGATAGTATATATTCATTAAATATTCAATGAATTATTTGGTAAAAAATTTTTATATTTGAATATTCATTGATATTTGAAAATACTATTTATCAGATCAGATCTCTATATTAACTCTATGAATGAATAAATCATTTATAATAACAGATAGCATCTCAATATTATAGATTGACCTTATACCAGCAGTTCTTTTGAAAAAAAAGCTACAGTATATATTTGTAAAAAAAATAATGAGTTTGGTAGCTTCATAATTGTATAATCTGATTTGATATAAATAAACAATGATAATTTAAATGTACAGTATCAATATTAAATATATCCGCTAATAAACGGATGATCTGTTTATTAACGGGTAACCCATATACAAATTAAAACAGTTTGTCAAAAACATGGCCCGGTTGGTAAATTATTCAGGTCGGGTAATTGGATACATAGTTTTCCAGGTCAGAGGTTGGAACCCTATTCAGAGCTCTGGTTATATCTTTTAGAAGTCTATGAAAAAAAGAGTTAGGATTTATTAACACTAATGCAATACTAACTAGAAATAGCTAAAAGTGGTTTAGCTTGCCACTTAAGTAATTTTGTGGTATTAGGCTGGTCTTTAACAAAATAGATCATTAAAGCTAAATTATAAAAATAGCTAATAGCTAGGAATGTATAGCCTTGTAGTTGCTGTGCAACTTAAGAAGTTTTCACGAACTATGGTCCTGATGAATACTATATAAGAGAGTACTTAGGAGGTAGTAAAAAGTATACTACATTAGATAACTTAAAAATGCTAATACCTGAAAACACCAAACTAAATAGTGTAGCAGGGTCTAGCTTGAGATGCAAGCCTAGTATACCTGGAAAAACAAGTAAAAGGTTTGGGACATTCATATAATATAAGTTGTATAAAAAAATACAAGCTGGTATTAGTCAATACAAATCTAACGATAAGTTCTCTTTTTAATATATGATACTAATGCTTCTCATGTAGGACTAGCAGCAGCAGCAGATACCTGGCTTGAGAAACGTGAATGAGAGGCCACCTATTAGAAGGAGTATACTAGTTTAAGAAATACTTCAAATAATAGGCACATCAAATTGTGAGGCTATTAAGAACTGATTATCTGAATAAACTAATTGGGTATTACCAAGGTTTGATGATAAGATATGAAGAGAATATAGTGAATAACTAGATATAGTTTGAATACCAAATCTAGATATAACCCAATATATGGTAAGAATATAGCATACTCTGGTAGATTTAGATCATAGAAAAAAATTGTTTAAGTTTGTATTTTTAAGTTAGATATATAGCTATATAAGGCAAATACTTGAAATTATCTAAATAAAGATACAAAGCAAGACCTCACCTTAATACTAAAAAAAAAAAAAAGATAATAGCTATTATACAATTAAAATATTCAAAATTTATTATCAGTAGGTTTTGAACTCTCTATTTAGCCAACATATCACTTGAAGATACAACAACTTAACCATTTCACTAAGTCATTATATTTTTAATCAAAAAATTTTTTTATCTAATATAGGATCTTTTTACACACCTCTACAATAAATTATCAGATTTTTGTCAGTGCAGTGAAGATCAATTTCAAAGATAAGTATTTTCAAAGTCTTTTGTTTTCCTTTATAGATAGAAACACAATTGTTAACCATATTCATAAAAACTGGTTTTTTTTCTAGATTCTTTTCATACCAAACATGTGTGGAAATAAATTGACGAACAAGCAAAGAGACCAGATAATTAGTGCCTATCTTGCGGGTACAAATGCCCCAAAAATATCAGCTGTGCTAAGCATTGTCTATATAACAGTATATGATACTATTAATTATTATAAAAAAACTAGTTTTTTATATTCTAAAAAATAACCTGATCATTCAAAAACTTTTTCATCCCATGATCAATATTCTTTATAGAAAGTTATTTTGAAAAATAGATTTTTATTTTTTAATAAAGTTACAAACGAATTTAATTTCAATTTTAATACAACTTACTATTCTAATACTATTCATAACTATCTTCATAGTCTTGGCTTAAGAGGTCATGTTGCTCGTTTTAAGCTTTTTTTAAAAAAAAAAGAATTGTATTAAATAATTAAAATAGTGCTAAGTAAAATATAGTTGGAATGAGGAATGGAAACATATTGTTTGGTCAGATAAATCAAGATTTGCTTTGTTTAGGTCTGATAGATATGCAAAAGTATAGTGAAGAATAGGTGAAGATTATAATGTAAACTGAATTAAATTTACTTTTAAATATAACAGCAGGTTCATAATATTTTGGAGATGCTTTAGTTGAGATAGTGTTGGACCATTAGTAGTAGTTGATGAAAATATGAATTCTGACATATATATTAATATTCTTGCAAATTATTTAATGCTATAGATATATAATGATCCAAATTTAATATTTTAACAAGATTTAGCTCTATATCATACAGCACAATATACAGAATGATGAATAAAAATATATAGTATTTCAGTTCTGGATTGGGTTCCGTATAGCCCAGATTTGAACCCAATTGAACATCTATGGGATTATGTTGATTGTCAAGTTTGAAAAAGGAAACCCTTGCCTAGCTCAAAAAATGAATTAATTAAGGCTGTGCAAGAAGAATGGGCAAAAATTCCTTTAGAAGTCTTACATAATCTAATTTTAAGTATGTTTGCCCAAGTTAAAGCTATTCTTAAAGCTAAAGACTGGCATTTCAAATACTAGTTTTTTTTATTTTTATTAAAAAATAGAGACCTTATTTTATATGGTATTAGATTAAAATTTTGTATTTCTTTTTATGAAAATAAAAAATTGAAGTTTAAAGATCAGTGATCGTTATTATTATATGATCAAAATCTGGTAATTTATTGTAAAGATATGTATCATTCAAATATTTATTCTTTATGTATCTATTCTTAACCTAGTTTGTTATAATTATTTGGTAAATCTATAGTAACATAAAGGATGAATACTGATCAGAGTATCAGATAGTAAATTACTATTAGTAAATTATAGTAATTTACTAGGTAATTTACTAAAGATATAATAAATTTATCTTATATTTATAGATCTATTTGCAAATTATATAAATCATATAATTTATATTATACAAATTTTATTATTCAAAATAGCTAAAGGTAAATTTATTGGTAATTTACTAAATAGCTCAGATAATTTACTACAAAAATTTAAAATTATAATAATTTAATAACCCTAATACCGGTATAATATTAGTCAACTGATTTGTCACATATTATATATATATATACAGTATTTTTTATATATAAAATTATAGCAAAAACATATAGAATTACATATAAACTTTGTTGCAATGATATTTTTTCATTTATATATTAACTTTAAATTAAATTTTACAAATAAATACATCAAAAAAAGGTAAAAAAACATATTTTGAACCAAATAAAAATATTGCAATTTTGATACAATTTAAAAATATAACTTTGTCAAAAGAAAAAATTTAGCTAATTTAAAGTAAGAATTATATATAAAATTATATTCTGAACAATTTCAGTTAGAGAGTAAAGAAGAGTTATTTTAATAAAAAAAATTTTTATATACTAATATCAAAATTTTTAGTTTTTCTATATAAAACTTTTTTTTGTTTAGATAACCTGTTTTGATCTCTTAAGCAAATTTGTTCAATATATAATGTTTTTTTGAACTTTTTACTAAGTAAAAAATTAGGTTAAAGATTATACAAAAATTTTTTTTTGAAAAAATTTTTGTATAATCTTTAATCTAATTTTTCACTTAGTAAAAAGTTCAAAAAAACAAAATCGGTAAGATATAAAATATGTAGAATTATATATTGAACAAATTTGCTTAAGAGGTTAAAACAGGTTATCTAAACAAAAAAAAATTTTATATAGAAAAACTAAAATTTTGATATTAGTATATTAAATTTTTTTTTATTAAAATAACTCTTCTTTACTCTCTAACTAAAATTGTTCAGAATATAATTTTATATATAATTCTTACTTTAAATCAGCTAAATTTTTTCTTTTGACAAAGTTATATTTTTAAATTATATCAAAATTGCAAAATTTTAATTCAGTTTAACATTTTTCACTTTTTTTTGATATATTTATTTGTAAAATTTAATTTAAAGTTAATATATAAATGAAGAAATATTATTGCAACAAAGTTTATATGTAATTCTATATATTTTTGCTATAAGTTTATATATACAAAAATTTAAATGTAATATATTGTATAATTAATAGTATTTATTTTACTTATATTAGAAGTTTCAAATATAATATTTAGTTTATCTAAATAATTTTGAATAATATAATTCCAAGAATTATTAGCAAAATAAATTTTTAAAAGATTTTTATTTTTAAAATAAATAAATGAATAAGGAGGCTGACAAATATTAGTTTATTATATTCTCTCTGAGATTTTAATTTAATATCTTCAGAATCAAGTATTTGATATATATAAATAAGAGTACATTTATTTATCGCTCCATGCGATGCATCTTATATATCGCTCTTACATGATCAACCAATCGAATCTCAAGATTAGTGTAATATTACACAGGTAGAAAATTCAAAACAAAATAAATATTTTGCCAAAAATCACCCATAACTCAAAATATCAAATATGAAACCACCTTTCGGGTTCTAATAAAAAAAATTTCTTGCAAAATTTTACTATAGAACCTGGTCTTTGCCTCGACTCTAACCTTATCTATCCCTAACCCTATCCATATTAAAAAAAATGTTGTTTTGATTTTACATTACACCTGATCATTAGGGTGACAACATCACCCATGCGATGTATAAATTATCTCTATAAATAATATATATAACAAATTCAAATTTGTCATATATATTATTTATATATATCAAATACCTGATTCTGAAAATATCAAATTAAAATCTCAGAGAGGGTATAATAAGCTAATATTTGTTAGCCTTCTAATTATATTAACAAATTGTATTAAAAAATTGTAGAAAAATTTTAGAAAATAAGTAGTATATATTTATATTAGGTATTTATATATCAAATATAGGCTATTTATGAAAGCTAAGCAAGAGCAGACCTATTTATTGATATATATATTTTTCAAGATCTGTTTTTCAAATATTTCTAAAATTAATCTATTATGATAGAAACTCTTAGTTATTGTTATATCTTTATTAGGTATTTATTATATCTAAAATTGGTTTTTTGTTATTATATAATTTAAGTAATCAAAAAAACTCTTTCTGTCTATCACTTATACACAAAATTTTGCCCAAAAACTTTTTATATTTTTCTCAATTTATGAAAAATTTTATTAAGTTAATCACCTTTGGTTCTTAAACAAACTTGTTCAGCTATTAATTTTACATATATTTATAAAGTTTCAAGTCTCTATCTCTTGTCAGTCTTGAGATATTCGACTTATAAAATTAGATAGACAAAAGTCTACTTCCTCCCTAAAGTTTTACCCCTCCTGGCAAACTGGGCTTAATAGTACCCTTACATACTATAATTAAGTTTGTAGAGCTCATCCATAGCTTCACAACAAGCTATAGCATGTCAATTTTGACCTAAAATTGACATTTATAGGCTCCATAATACCAAACCTCTTTTTTTTTTTTTTCCTTAACCCAAAAAAGTTCTCCCTTAGTTTATCTCATTCAAATCATTTTTTGTATAATAATCAGACTTACTGATCTGATTTGTTCATACTCCACCACACCACCTGCATAACTAATTCCTTTTTGGCAACTATTTTTAATCTAATCTTTATATAGCAACCACTTATAATCACTACTTATTCTACAATAGAAGTTGTAACGTTACTTGAAATACAACAATTGTATAACTAGTATAATATGTGATTTGTATAACACATGACTTGTATAATATATAACTTGTGGAATCTCAGTCCTAATAGGTTATACAAGGTTACATGAGCCACAGTAATTGCAATAATACCTCTACAAATTTATAAACCCCTACAACTATATTCAAAACCAATAGCTAACTGAAAAATTAATTAATTAACTATTTAAACTTTTAAAACACATAGCATTTTCTAAACAAAGCTAGCAACATGCCTACCCCACTATCTAGGAACCTGACATACTCGATCTTGACTTCTTTTACGCAAATTTTGCTGATACTTTCGGTGTAGCCATCTATACTGACGAACCTGATAAGGTTCAAACAGTTTCTCCTCAATTTAGACCATCAAGCTGTATCTCTATATCCACCAGAACACTTAAAGCAACACACTTTTTTAAAGCACCATGTACAACTGCTATAGTTAAATGCCTTTGTAGTAACTTCTACACACAGTTCTATTCTTCTACCAACACTATTCATATGTTAACTTTTCTAGCCTCTGTAACTAGTAAAAAAGGCAAACAGAAAATACTGAAAAACTAAATGAAGCTATTGCCTTATCATTATTAACTATCCCAACCTCTCTTGCACCCAAAACTCACACCCACATATGTCCTAAGAGCTGGGTTACAATCAACTATAAAACCTTAAATAACCATCACCAACTTGCAGAAGGTGCCTTCTTCTTTAGTAACGAGACATACTATCTAGAATGCCTTCAGCTAATTAATAAAGAAAAAAAAAGAAAAACAAGAAGCAGAGAAACAATAATCTCATCAAGAAGAACTCCAAAGAACCAAACAACAAGAACAACAACAACAACACCACCAAGAACAACGTCAACAAGACAAACACGAACAACAAACCATTAAAATAGAGACAGACGAAAATATAGAAAATAATAACTCAACTAATCTATTTGAAAGCATTCAATTTATATCTATGGCTTAATATAAACAAATTCAAGAAGAACTTAAAATACTCCAATCAATCAA